TTTCATGATGTTCCTAGTTCACTGTCTCCTTGCTTGTGTTGTTATTAGTGTTTTTGTCTCTATACAATGACTTTTGTCTCTGACTGCTTTTAAGGTATTTTCTTTATCACTTTTGTTAAGCTATCTGATGATGCCTTGGTATAGCTTTCTTCTTGTTTCTTGTGCTTTTTTTTTGTTGAGCTTCTTGAATCTGTAGTTTTATAGTTTTCAATATATTTAGAGAATTATTAATACTGTTTTCTTCAAATAATATTTTCTATGCCTCTACTTATGCTCAATGTTTCTTCTACCTTCTCCACTATGAATATAGTTACAGCAATTATAACTATATAGTTATAGACCTATATAGAATGTAGTTATAATAATTATAATGATATTATATAATTATATAATACAGCTGTAGAATGAATATAGTTATAATAATTGTTTTAATGACTTTGTCTACTAATGTTGTCATTTTTGGATCTGCTTCTATTGACTGGCTTTTTTCCTCAGTATAAGCCACATTATATTGATTCTTTGAATGCCTGGTAATTTCTTGTTGGATTCTTGACATTATAAATTCTACTTCTTGGATACTGGAAATTTTTGTATTTCTAAAGTATTCTTAAGGTTTATTCTGTAACAAAGATGAATCACTTAGAACCATTTTCTCCATTTGAGTCTTGATTTTAAGCTTTGTTAGCTGGGGTCAGAGCAGCATTTTGTCTAGGGTGATTTCTTTACTGCTGAGGCACCATCCTTCCAAATCCTCTTCTTGATGTATTATGGCTCACAAAGTTTCACACTGACTAGTGGGAACAAAAATTATTCCATCACTAGGGATTGTTTCCACTAATCTTTTTGGGTTATTTTTCCTTTGGCCTCTGTATTTTTCCTTACAAATGTGCGCTGGTCAGTATTCAGCTGAAGATTCAAGGGGAACCCTTTACAGATCTCCACAGTTCTTTCTCTCTGTGCCGTCTTTCCTCTCCAGTGTGCTACCTGGCAAACTCCAGATTCCTCAGCCTCCTCTACTCCCAGCTCCATCTGCTTAACTCAGGAAGACTACCAGGCTCCATCTGGAAACTCTCTAGGCGTTGGACTGGGGTGACTGGAGGGCCCACCTTGTTTGCTCCCCTTCCTTAGTCATCACTGTCCTGCATCGCCTGTTGTCCACTGTCTGAAAACCATTGCTTTATGTAGTTTATCCAGATTTTTGTTTGTTCCGGGTAGAGGAAGTTTTACAATCAGTCTAAATTTGATGATTACAAGGAGCTCTGGTGGTGTAGTGCCTAAGGCACTTGACTGCTAACCAGAAGGCTGGCGGTTCAAATCCACCAGTCACTCCTCAGAAGGAAGGTTGGGCAATCTACTCCCATAGTGATCTTCGGAAACCTAAGGAGGAGTCACTATGAGTCGGGTCCAACTTGACAGCACATAACAACAACAACTCAACAAGCACGTAGTGAAATGAATTTAGTCCAACCAACAGGAAGTCTTCAATTTAGTCTGTAACATAAGACAAGGGACAAGGTATCACTTCTGTTCTGGTGAAAAACAATTTTTTTTCTTTTTTAATTTTAAAATGTCCTTAAATTTTCTGGATATTGTTTCTGGAGAGGAAAAAAAAAGACAATCAACTTTATTATAACATCACAGAGAACAAAATAAATTATATCTAATTCTTACGGACAGCTTTGTGGAGCCACTAGCAAAACAGAACTGGAATGAATGTTATTCAATAAGTGAAATTTACATTCCTGAAATAGGATGACTACTGGTTTATAAACTATTATCAATAATAATGAATAATAATGAACTTTAACCTGAAGCTGTGGCTTCAGGTGATCATAAATCACAAACCTGGAAGCCACCTGCAGGTATAATTTGAAATCATATCGTCACACATCATATCAATGGTGAAGTGACCCATACCCTTCTGAGACCAATATATGGCACTACTCCTTTTGCTTGCCTCATATGTGAGTCTTTAGCCCAGGGACAGCTCTGGGAAATGTGTCCACCCAGGGCCAGAGTGCTCAGTGCGCCCCAGCCCCTCTCTTCCTGAGTTCCTGAGGATTCTTAACGGGAGGCTAGTTCCCAGTAAGAACTCAGATAGCAAGGTCCATATAGGCCTGCTTCCCTATTAAATAGATCAAGAGTCTCTGGAGGCAGTAGGGCCCTCAGTGCTTCCTTTTTGCTGTGCGTGACATTTGTGGAGGGGCAGTTAGACTGGCTTATGTTTCCTGCTCAGTGTTGCATGAGCCAGTCCTACTGCAGGCCTGGTCTGGCACCAACCTTTGTAACCCTACAGTTTTGCAATAAAGGTGGGCGGGCCACGAGAGGGTGTCATTTTCTGCTATTTTGAATTTCAGTCCAGTTCCATCTTCCTTTACAAACCATACTCCATTTCTAAACACAGTGTTTATGCTGGAGGCAGAGTGGTAGCTGGCTGCTTTGTGAACACTGTGTTTAGTAATGTTTGGAAATAAACTCAGTGTAAGTCAAATTAGCACATTGTATACATCAACAGAATGTTAAAAGCAGAGTTAGCCTTGCAACCAAAAGCGTAAGAAGAGATGCAATGTATCATGCCACCAAGTTTATTAAAAACAGTGTTTAGATGAATTAAGTGAGACCAGCAGCCTATGGGTACAGCAGCCAGTGAACAGAGGTCATTTCTCTACCTCCATTGAAATAGGCTCTGCCCCAGCTTCTCTGCCTTTATTCACTGCATTGCTGTCCTTCCCTTTGCCCAGACTGGGCACCTCACATTCTCCTTCATCCCAGTCCTCACTGTGGGGCACAAACTGGTGTTTGGGCCCTCAGAGGTTGCCTCTGCAGGCAGCATCCCTTGGCACCCAGAAACACCTCTGCTCTCACCCAGACGCCGAGGCAGCCTCCGCACCGGCCCCCGCCTTGTGCTCCACGTCCTTCTTCACCGGGCTGCGGCCTGCAGCCCCAGTGGTCCTTCTGGGGCAGCTCTGCTCCTGGTGACTGGGGCGCCCCTCTTCAGAAGTTGTATTCAGTTGGGAATGTGATCTTAGTGCCTAGCTGGGCACTGGGCGGGCCTGTGGGCTGATGCTGGGAGCCTCCAGCCCACGTTTCTAAACTTGCCTTTGAGCCCCTCCCTGAGAACCTCACACTTCAGCGTTACGAGAACCTTCTGTCCTGTGGCCCCTCTGCACGGCCCATCTCTGGCACTTGCTCAGAGCCTCTCTGGCTTCCCGGAATGCCTTCTGCCTCATGTCTACCTGTCCAGCCCCTGCTGGTCTCTCAGGCCCTGCCCACGGCTCACTTGGCCTCCCTGCCGAGCCAGGCCTCTGTGTTGGATTCTATCTGTCTGTCCCCCTCGTTTCGCATGCTCAGCATTAAAAATTAACTTAAGAGTTCTTTTAAAACTGACGACCGAACCGTAAACCTTTGGTGGGAAGGCCTGCATCGTTTAGTCTCTGTTACCCACAGCCCGCTAGTCTGTCAGCGTTTGGGAATTAGCCTCTTCTAGATGTGGCTAAGACACTTGCCTGCTCACCAGAAGGCTGGCGGTTCAAACCCACCAGCCACTCCTCGGAAGGAAGGTTGGGCAATCCTACTTCCGTAGTGATACTGCCTCGGAAACCCAAGGAGGGGTCGCTATGAGTCGGGGCCGACTCGACGGCACATAACAACAACAACAACAACAAGATTATCCTCAGGCCCCAGCGCAGAGGACAGTAAATGTCGCTGTTTGCTGATTAATCCCCACGTTATGTGACGTCATTCTTTTCAATGAACATTAGTCTGAGTTTCTGCCCTATTTTTAACAAAGCCTGTGGTTCAATAGTTTGAGAAAAGCTAAATGCTGTACATCTCTATTGGAGTAGAGGGTTGGAAGGAGTGAAATGAAGTCATGTCATATCAGCATATTAATGTCTGAGAGGTAATGAAATAAAAAACCAGCATTCTCAAACTGATTTAACCACAGAACCACCCCCTCCCTGTTTAAATCCCACTAAACTAGAGTTCTGTGGCGCACACACTGGGAAGCTACGTATATTCTCTCCCTGACTTCTGGATGTACAAGACCTTGAATGTTTATGTGTTCCAAAGGACAGAACCTTAGCCGAGAGACCAGTGCAGAAAGAGGGGCCTGCTGCTGGAATCTCCTAGGCCAGGCTCCCTGTGACCTCCCAAGAAGGCCCACATTACAAAGGGGGCTGAGGGTTGATTGGGGTGGCAGCAGAGGGACGAGACACCCGGACACCTTCCATTGGAGAGCCTTCGTCAACCACAAGCAGGGCCTGCTGCCCGTCGGTGCACACCCCCACTGCGCCCACCCAGCCTGGCCCACCCTTGCTGTGCCTCCCCTTCCAGTCACAGCCAGGCAATGGCAGGGCTGTCGTTTCCAGCACTGAAGCTTCCAACCGTCTCCCAGTCATGGCTTCCTAATGACTGTGGCAACTAGCAGGAGCTCTGATAGCATAGTGCCTAAGGCACTTGACTGCTAACCAGAAGGCTGGAGGTTCAAACCCACCAGCTACTCCTCGGAAGGAAGGTTGGGCGATCTACTTCCGTAGCGATACTGCCTTGGAAACCCAAGGAGGGGTTGCTATGAGTTGGGTCTGACTCGACGGCACATAACAATAACACTAACAACATGGCAAATAGCACCTCCGTTCTCCTCAGGGACCCAGTTCTAAAGATCCCACCATAAGAATTCTGTTTTGAGAAAGCAAGGGTTTACTGAAATAAGTGCACGTGTGATTTTTGGTGCTTGGCAGCTCTCAATAGGCCATCAGTCACCTACTCCAAAGGGTGTGTCTCAGGCTCTTGCAGGGTGCTTGTTAACTTCCAGATGCCACCAGCTCAGCAGGGTGTGACCTCGAGAAGACCTTTCTGATAATGGGTGGCTGCACCAAGTGTCACTTCCTTGCATGATGTTAAAGGGATTCGGGTGCCCCGCTTTGCCTCAGAGCAGGCAAAGCTTCTGGGGGCAGCGGACAACAATGATAACAAGGTGTCTGTGTTTCTCCATACAGCTGATACCTATGTGGTTGCCAATGATTCAGTCAAATATCAAGGTAAGTCTCTCCCTCTCCCCCGGGCTGCCTGGAAGCTCCGTTTCCTCCAGAGAATGTCATAATGTTCATAGGGTAGTTGATGTTCTGTATGGGGGGGGGGGGTGGTTAACCTACTCCTGGTCTCAGAGCTGATAATGCAGGTGGCCCTGTGGCCAGGTAAGGAGCCTGCAGTCAGAGGGCGGCAGTCGGAGCTCCTTCATTGCTCACTGTTGATTAGGATGCAGGTGGACGGCGCAGATCGGGGAGCCTGAACTAGGTGCAGTTCATCGATTGCAATGCAGGCGAGAGAGTATCCTGCCTCAGAGGATACCCGTGGGATGTGTGGTTCCAGGCATGTTCAAGCACATCTGTTAGCCACTAAGATGATTTTCTATGATGAGAAGAATTCTAGAAAGACAGGACAACATTGAATGAATGATAGAATTGTGGTAGAAAGGGATCTACCCCCTTGATACATAGAAGAGGGTACTTAGGACCAAAAACGAAAAGTACTTGGATAGGGTCCCACAGCCAGGAAGGGGTAGGCCCTGACTGAGTGGATTTCCCACTCATGGTGCCTGCCTTGAATCACTGTAGGGCCAGGCATGCTTCATGACTAGCAAACTTCACTCTCGGGCTCCACATTAAGACAGCAAAGCTGGCCACCTGCTCCCTCCAAACGGGGCCCCTCTTCAGCACTGGTAGTGTTGGGGGAGCAGAGAGGAAGCTTCCTTGCTGGAGCTCTTAGAATTGGGGCAGGATGCTAGTGGAAAGAGGGGGATGTGAACTCGAGGTACATAGATACTCCCCTTTCCTTGGCAAGTCACCAAAGAGAGAAGTGCAGCCGTCAGCAGTGACCTCAGGCTCTGAGTCCTGATTTATGACATTGGTGCATTTGTGGACCCCGAGGGGGCTCTGACGCTGCTGAAAACCGTATCTTATTCCACCTCTACATTCCACGTTGCCCCTCCCCCCTCCCCCTGCTTACGGCCATCTCTGACAGTCTTACATTGCACAAAATGCCAGAAGAGATCAACAGAACTGGATGAAAAGCTAGGGGAACCAAAAGAGAGACAGAGAGAAAGCCTTCCCACCTGGCTCTTCCGGTTCAGCACCAGAGGGGTCCGAGAGATTCTAACAGGAGTTAAAACAGTGAGCACTTGCTGCGTTCCAAGTTCTCTTCTCAGCCCTCTGTTTGCCCATCCATCCCCCTACACCCCAGGTTATCATTCCCCTTTGCAGATGAGAAAACCTAAACAAAGACCAAACAAAGTCAGTTTCCAGAGTTGTGTGTAGAGGAGCTGGGGCTTGAACCTAGGGAGTCTGATGCCAGAGCCTGGGCACTTAACCGGGCCCCGTGGAGAATGGCTGTGCAGGGAGAAGTGTGTGTGTCAGCCCACACATGGGGGTGTCAGCTTGAGTTCCTGGTGAAGTGAGCCAGTCAGGATGGGAACGCCATTGTTTGGAAGATTTCAACTAGGTGGATGGTCTGTGGGTGGTATAAGCAGTCAAGTGCTTGATGCTGGCTGGAAGGTTGGCGGTTTGAACCCACCCGGAGGTCCTCGGGAGGCAGCCCTCGTGATCTGCTTCCCAAAGGTCACAGCCTTAAAAACCCTGTGGAGCAGTTCCACTCTGAACGATGGGGGTGGCCATGAGTCAGAACTGACTCCATGGCAACTAACCGTCACAAACCAGGTGACTGTAGGAGTGGCAGGGGCCTGCGTGTAGCACTGGCCACAGCCCCTGCCCCAGCACTGCCACGTGGGAGCGTCTGCCTTCTTGGGGCCTGGCCTCAGCTCCACCCGCAGCAGAAGCCCAGGTTGGCCCTGCCCCGGGTTGGCCAGGAGGATCGGGAAGACAGAAACCCAGTGTCTTGCGCTTTCTTCACAGCACTTGTCTGCGGGACTCCAGCTTCGCCTGCAGGCCATCCAGAACAACGTGAACCACCACAGCCTGAGGACACTGCCGGGCTCCGGGCAGAGCAGCACCAGCCTGGCGGCCCTCCGCAAGTGGCTGCAGTGCACCCAGTTCAAAATGGCCCAGGTGGAGATCCAGTCCTCAGAAGCAGCCTCTCAATTCTATCCTCTCTGAGTGGACTCCTCGGCTTGCGTGTCAACACTCTGGTTTAGCAATAATGGGTTTCAAAACAAAACAATTTGATCCAAGCAGGTTGGGGAACACATTGCTACTGTACATTCTCTTTCTAGTTTAGTAAAGACGGGAAAGGCCGGAGAGGGCCTCTAGTGAAGCTTTCTTGCTACACATATTTCTGACGACTCCTTGGGCTATCTGATTAAGTGTTTCCTTACATTATTTTTTAAAAAAAACCAAATCATTTTTCTTTAACTAACTTCTATTTTTTTTAAGAAAAAAAAAAAAAAAAGACTGGTGGGCACTCACAGAAAAGTTGTATAAGTCCCCCTGTTGCTATTTTTGATGATAGAGAATAAATAGGGTTTTTGAAACCTTTGTAGTGTTTTTTCTTAAAATCCACTCTTGGCAATGCAATAAAAACCTGTCACCATAAGCCAGTGACACTCGACTGAAGCTTTTTTGTCATTATCCTGGGAAAAGTGGCAGCTTGTAAGGAACATTACAAAGTGCACTTCGAAACTAGGTGGTTAAACTGTGCCAATTGTTTTCTTTGTTTTATAGTATCATTTTCCAAAACTGCCCAGTTGGTTTTATTATTTCTAAAACTGGTTTTTCAATTCCTTAGTTCTAAGCTGTACTGTCTTGTAAGCTTTATGATAACCACTTTAGTTTTGTGAATAATAAATTTTATTCTTTTGTCAATACTTGTATACAACTCAATTTGCAACTGTAGATTGCATCTTGGACCACTGAGTCCCGGCGCTGGCACAGAGCGTGCGCCTGGAGGTACGTTTCATGCGACGAATTTTAACAGCTTCAGAGCGCCGCGTTTTATCAGCACTTCCACTCGGCATCTGACTGCGTGTTCACAAACGCTCTTTCTCCTCATCACCCCTGTAACGCACTGAGGAATTACCGCAAAGAAGAATTAATACACATTTAAGCTGTATACTGACATGCTATTAAATACATTTTTTATGATTTTCGTGAGCCTGGGGTTTTTTAAAATCAGTTCATAGAGGTAGAGTTTAGCTCCCAATAACCAATGCTTCCAAACCTTTCGAGCTCCTCACTTCCCTTAAAACTGAAGTGCAATTATTACAAGGCAAAGGCTCTTCAGGTGAGAGCTATGCCTCCAGGTGGACTTTGAGAGCATGAGACAGTTCTTTCTTCCTTTAGCTTGATTTACTAGAAGACTTCTCTTTCCTTCTAGAAGATTCGGTACCTCAGTGCTCCTCAGGGGAAAATAAGTCCCAGGACACGTAAGCGTTTCGCATGAGTGTGAGGCTGATGGGGAAACGTGGACTGCGGAAACGATGCCCTTTGTGTTTGACTCATGAGCATCCCGCCTTCTGAAGGCCTTCCTCGCCCAGAACTCTCCTTGCTCTGAGCTGCTGGCTGTGCGTCTGTGAGCGTTTTGTCTTGTTTGAGAGTAAGTTGTGCACGTGTTTCTCTCTCATGTCCACTGACAGCTTTGAGAGTATGGAGTGTCTCTGTAGCCCCAGGGTTTGGCATAGAGTTAATGTCTATTGAATTGAATGGGTTCAATTAAGCAACAAGTCTTTCTTGAGCCAGCCAGTGGGCTCAGCAGTGGGCTGAGCTGTGACATTCTTTATTTTTGTGGCAGGAGTGCTCTCGGGGGTTATAGGAACAGGCAGGAGGAGGCCCTGGCCACCTCCCCTAAGAGGGGCTGGCTGACTTCCCCATTTCAGCTCAGCTCTAGGTCTGCTGTTCCCCAGCCTGAACTCAGCCTGCCTCAGAAGGCTGCAACATCAGTCACTCCTTCCGAGGCAAGGTCTGGAGGTATCCATGGCTTCTTCTTCAACCCTCGGTCCTTCGGCCAGTTCTTTGAATGGACTTTGTTTGGGTGTCCTCCTGTAGCCTGGAGAGCGCTCTTAACCCAACCTCCATGACTGGGCCCTGAGCTCATGCTGCCTGCTGCCTGGGCCTTCCCTTCACCCCAGTCATGACCCAGGGTCTTAATTCTGCCCAGGGAAAGCCCCCTTCTTAACCTGAGAAATAAGGCCCTTTGTCCTGCCAACCTGACCCACACATGTCCCTGCTGGCACCTTGCTACTTCATGGGCTGGTAGAGACCAGCAGACCCAGTGGGTCTCGGGCCTACACTGGACCCCCTCGCCTGTCCATGTGTCCTCCCCTTCTTCTGTTACATTATGTCAGCTTGCCCAGCAAGTCAGGCTCAGGTGCTGAGAAGAAAAAGTCAGGAAAAGAAAGGACAGAAGGGTATTCAACAGGACTGGCCCTAACAAGTGGGAGCAGCAGCTACTCACCGAGGTCAGGGGGGAGGAAACTACAGCCCAAGGGCCAAATCCAGCCTCTGGGCTGGATTTGTGAAATTTGCACAGAATGTAACCCTACCTATTTGTGTACTCGTCCTGGTTGGTGACTCTTCTGCTCTAGCAGCAGAGTTGAAGAGAGTTACGGAAGAGAACATACAGCCCATGAAGACTCAAATAGTTGCTATGTGGCCCTTTACAAGGAAAGTTTGCAGACTCCTGACCAAGGCCACTGAGGAGCAATGAGCTGGGACCTTGCAGGGACATTGTTTCCCTTCCACCTTGGGGCGGAGGGGTGTTGAAATTTCATTATTAGTGCTTTCTCATCTGTCAGGTGGGGTTATAGTTTCATAGTTGAAAGGATCAAATAAAATCATGCTAGAAAAGAGCTCAGTGCAATGCCTGGCTTATGGTAAGCACTCAATGAAAGTCATTGATTACTCCTTTTATTCTTATGTGAAAGCCCAGAGATATGAAGCAACTTATCCAAGGTCACATAGCTAGTAAGGAGCAGAGCCACAGCTTGACCTTAGGTGGTCTGACCCCCAAGAGCATGCTCCCAATCACTGCCCGTCTTAACTCCTGCTTTTGTGGTGTAGTGCCTAAGGCATTTGACTACTAACTAGAAGGCTGGCAGTTCAAACCCACCAGCCATTCTGTGGAAAGAAGACAGGGCAATCTACTTGTGTAAAGATTTACTGCCTTGTAAACTCAATGGGCATCACTATGAGTCAGAATCGACTCGGTGGCAGTGTTTGGTTTTTTGGTAATCCTTATTGGGCCAGCACTAATTACTGGCTTCATCTCTTTCCCTTTCTTCATGGAATCCTAATGGTTTCACTGTGTGGACAGAACGTTCTGAGATTCCCAACGGTGGAATGGGCCAAACTATCCAGATGCATAGATTCTATTCTCACCAATTTTTCCCAATACGCATGCCTCTTACTGGTTAGTTGAATGACCTTGGACAAGTTATCAAACTTCTCTGACTCTCTGCTTTTCCTTCTCTGTAAAATGGAGCTACTCTACCCATCTCCCTTGGGCAATAGAAAGCGCAAATGGGCTGAGGACTGTGATGGTGTTTGGGAGACTGTATTGGAATCAGTGGACCTCTGGGAAGACCAGTGCCATCGCGGGAAGCCCACACAAGGGGACAGGTCACAGCTGCAGGCTCATTTGGTTTTTCCTTCAGCCAGTCCTTCAGAAACAAGATCTGCAAGACTCATGAGATCTAACACCTTGCCACTAGCCAAGGGTATCTGGTCTCCAATGCCTACCTTCTCTTTGCAATTCATGCCCTTCTGCCTGACTTGGGATGTTCTCAGCAGATCTCTTCCCTAAGAGTCTCATCTGACACCAGCTGGTTGCAGCAATTCCACCTCCATCCATTTCCAAGCTACAACAGGCCCAATTGGATTGGATTGAGAAGACTGGTTATCTACCAGGACTCTTTCATGAGTTGGGATTGAAGGGTCTCTGGCATTAATTGGACAAGAATACATATCATTTATTGTACCTTTTTAATAGAATTAATTTGCAAATATGTATATTGGACAAATTGGGTGTGTTGACAGGAATGGCAGGTGGTTACCAAGAGTGAAAGGATGTGTTGGAAGCCAATGGAATAGCACCAAACCCTGCTTTAGGAAATGGCTGATGTCCATAGTAAGAGGCTGGCCGGCTCCTTCCACTAGTAGGAGCAGCAAGCAGTGAGCCTCTTGGGAAGGGGATTTGAGAGAAACCATAGTAGCCAACATTGTTGAGCATCTCCTAGGTACTGAGCACTTCACACACATTATCTTCTCTAACCCTGCCCCGATGAGCTAGGTATTACTGTTACTCTCATTTGGCAGGTGAGCACCTGGGGCCCAGAGGTTAAGTGGTTTATCCAGGGTCATGCAGTGCTAGAGCTAGAAGGCCTTCGGACTCCAGGTCAGGGCTTCACTCAGCGCAAGTTCATTTCTCTTCCCTCTTCCATGGTTAACATTCATTTGGTTACAATACGCCAGGAGCAATGGGAAACACAAGCCTGAGGCAGCCCAATGTTTTTGGCCTCTCTCTCCATTTATCACAAATTCCCATCAAGCCAGCGTCACTTGATTGGACAAAGGGATTTCCCTCCTTGATTTGGGAATGCATTTAAGTGAAAAAAATTATAGATCTGTGTAATGAAATCACATTTAATAAGGGATTTCCCTCCTTGATTTGGGAATGCATTTAAGTGAAAAAAATTATAGATCTGTGTAATGAAATCACATTTAATATGCTAATTTTATGGAAAAGAATAAAATTTTATGGACTGAAGTCTGTGATGATGAACTCTGAGATTGGGGCTACTGAGAGCTCCCTGAGCCCTAGTCTGACTTGCCACTAGTTATCATCCTAGCTCCACAGCAGGGCTTCCCCTGTGTCAGGCACCTCAGATTCAGTCATCTCACTTCATCTGCCCAACAGCGATGTGAGACAAGCCTTTCTGTTATTAACCCATGTTGCAGACCAGGAAATAGGCACAGGTAGGAAATATTTATTAGAGTCCCTAGAGGTACAGCATAATTTTGATCTAGGTATGTCTGACTCCAAGAAGCTCTGGTGGCACAGTACCTAAGGCATTTGACTGCTAACTAGAAGCCTGGCAGTTCAAACCCACCAGCCACTCCTCGGAAGGAAGACTTGGCAATCTACTTCTGTAGAGATACCACCT